TGGGCGCGCGCCTCCCGGTCCACGGGACGCGGTGCACCGAGAGCGTCCAGGCCCTCCGCGAAACCCTCCACCAACGCCGCCCCCATCAGGCCCTAGAGCCCAAGACGGGCAAGGGTCGCGCGTCGCCCGCCCCAGGTGGCAAGAAAGGTGCCACACCCAAGGCCGCCATTACACCTTCGGGGGGAGTGTCACGTTCGCCCTGGAAGTCTCAGGGGATCCCCGCTCCCCCGGGGAAGGCCCGCCCCTCGCCCAAGTCCCGGCCCCCGCAGGGCAGGAGCGGCGATCCCCAGTCGGCCCCCGCACCTCGCCCGCGCCCGAACAACCAGACGCCCCCAGACCTGGGGGGAGGGGGGGCCAGGGTGTCCGGCCTCGCGGGGCTCAGCCCCTCGCGGGCCCGGCGGCCCGGCGGCCGCGGAGGTCGAATCCGCGGGAGGCCCCCGCCCCGCAGAGAGCCCCCTGCGCCCGAGTCGGACCTGGAGGGAGCCCCCGCTCCTTGATTCGGGGGGTTGGTCAGCCTCGCGTTCTGGGCGAGGGGGGCTCGTCTGCGATCGCGGAAGAAGCCCCCGTAATGCGTCGAGGAACGAGTCCGAGAGGGAGGATTTCGACCCGGGAAGACCCCCGTGGGCCTGGCAGGACAATTGGGAGGACCCGTACGACTGGCTTCGACGAGCCGACCCGGCCGAAAACCCCTCAGACCCTGAGGAACCCGAAGGCGAGAGCTGGTGGGAGAACATCTGGTTCTCCAGCCGGCGCCGAGAGGTGATCCTGGAAGTCAGGCGCGCCCGTCAGCAGGGCCTCGCCTCGTGGTTTATCTGTCTCACCTTCCAGCACCCGGACGAGGCCCTTACCTTTTCCCTGGGAGCCCGAAGGGAGGAGTTTAAGGGGCGGGCCTGCGGCTGCCTCATGGTCTACGCCCCCAGTGCGTGCGTCGCGTTCCTCCTGGTCGTTCTGGATTTTGGGATTCGTCCTTTCTATTGGGGCTACCAGAGGCTTGGGAGGGCCCCTTTCTTCCGAGAGTGGCTCGCCTGAGTGGAGCTTCCTCCTCGAACTCGATTGGAGGGGCCCAGACGCCCGTCCAGTAGGCGATGACTTCTTCAAGGATGTCATCCGGGCGCGGAGTGACCAACCCCCCCGGCTTCCCAACCACCTGGTAGGGGAGATCGCTTCGCCTCCACCGCGGTTTCCATGAGGTCCTCGTTGAGAAGGACAAGCGCCACGGGCAGGACTTCCCCTTATCCCCGCGTGCACAGTTGCACGGGCCCCCAGCTCCGGGCTACCCTCGAGCACGCCCCTGTGAAGGTGGTGCACTTTTGCCCGGAGGGGGGTGCTTGCGGGAGACAGGAAGTGTTCGCCATGCGTCTCCGCAAGTACACCAGGATTGGCCCCAAGGCGCTCCTCGACTCGGACGAGGATCGGGAGATCGGCAGCCCCACCAAGGCTTCCGTGGACGGCCGCGGCCTCTGGCAAGGCCCGCTTCACCTCGGGAGTGTGCCCTCTTTTGGACGTCGGCTTCTGCTGCTGCTGGCGTCGGAGCCGCCAGAAACGCAACCTGTCAGTTCAGGCCGCCGCCCAGGGTGCCCACCCCGCTCCCGACAAGGAGGATTGGGGCTCCTATGTGGCCGAGGCGGTTGCCTGGACCCATACCCAAGGGCGCTTTTGCCGCCTCCAACACCGCGGGACTTGCACCGACAAGAGGGCGGCTGACCCTACCCCCTTGCTCATCGAGGATGGCCCCACGCGGCGTCCCCTGTAGCGAGCCTCTGCCGCTACCACTCCTTCGAGTAGAAGGGCGCCCGGCACCGCCTGCGGTGTGCCGCGCCAGGGTGCTGGGGGACATAGGCCAGGGGGCCCTCCGGCGGGCGCACGCGGGCGGGCTCGGGCTATCGCCCGCGCCCGTCGAAGGGGGAGAATCTCAAGCTCGAGGGAGGGGGTATTCCCCCGATGCCAGACCCCGCCCCACCCCAGCAGGGCCAGGCCCCCTGCACGCCCGCGGTTGCGGGGGAGGGACTCGTCCAGGCCCCCTTACTGGTCGCGGCCCTTCCTCCCGTATCTCCCCAACCATCCTCACACGTCCAGCCCTGTCTAGCTTTGCTCTATCTGTGTGCCTTTCCCGTGGCTCTTTCCCTGCCCCTTCCCAATTCCTTGCCCGCTCCTTCCCCCTGCCCTCCTCACTTCTGCCCCCCCCCCCCCCCCCGCCTTGCCCCTCGCACCCCCTGCCCCTCCCTGCTCCCTGCCCCGCCCTCCTGGCCCCCCGTTCCCCCGGGGCACATCGGAACGAAGAGCCCAGCTATGCACGCGCGCGCAGCTGGCCCCCCAAACCCCTCCCCCCCCCCTCCCCCCTCCGCTTGGCTCTTTCTCCCTGCCCCTCCCCCCGCCCCGTCCCTTCTCTCCTCCCCCTCCTCCCCCCACGCCCGCCCGCCTCCGCCGCGCCCATCCCTGTGCCAGCCCACAGAGGGGCGGCCGCCAGGTACCGCACGAAGGTGAAGCTCGTCGCCCAGGGGCGAGCCCCCTGCCCCTCCGCGGCGGGGAGCAGGAAGGAGCGGGAGGTGGCCCGGGGGAGGGAGGAGGAGGGAGGAGGGAGCCGGACGGAGGGAGGAGGAGGGAGCAGAGGGGGAGGGAGGGAGGAGGGAGGCCGCCCCTCGCCGCCCCTGCTGCGGCTGCTGCCCCCTCGGCTCCTGCTGCGGCCCTCGGGGCTCCTCCTCCGGGGGCGTTTCTAAGAGGGGCCCCCGACCGAGGGCGGGGGCGGTGGCGATCTCCTGGCCGGGGCCGCAGCATCTCCTGGATCTCGTGGCCCCCTCTTCCACCAGGACGTTCGCTGCCCCCCCTCCGCGCACGTGCCTCGGGCCATGGAGCTGCGCCCCCCTCCCAGACGCCCCCCTCCTGGACGCCCCCCATGCTCCTGTCAGACAGGCCCAGGAGCGGAACGAGTCGCCCCAGAGCGTTCCAGAACGCTCCGAGAGCGTCCTAGCAAGCGTTCTGGAACGGCCGCTGCGCCCGACACATCCTCCAGAGCCGCCAGATCTCAGAGATCTTCGATGTGCCCCGATCCGATCTTGCCCCGCTCCTGGCTACGTTTCATCCTGCTGCTGCCCTCCCGCTCCTCCCCGCTGGGCCGCCCGCTGGGGCTCATGGCGAGGTGGGGTGGATATCATGGCTGGGGCCACGAGATCTCCCGGATCTCGTGGCCCCCTCCTCGTCTTTCCAAGAGTTCACTGCCTCCCCACTCCTGGGCCGCGCACGTGCCTCGGACCATGACCTGCGACCCTCCTTGGACGCCCCCTTGCCCCGAGACCACTCCGGCACGCTCTCGCTGGACCGGCCGCGGCGCCGGGCACGCATCCTTCAGAGCCGCTGCATCTCAGATGTCCCCGATGTGCCCCGATCCGATCGTGCCCCGCTCCGGGCTTCGTTTTACGGTTGGCGTTGGAAAGATGTCGAGCGATGTGGCGCCGCTGGCCCGCTTATTACAGTCTTTCCCTCACCCTGGGGATAGCGTGCACCGAAGAATCCCTGGCATGGGGCATGGGGATGTCGCGCACAGAAGGTGCCATCACAGGGAGATCGCCTCACGGGGACAGCCTGCATGGAGGTGCTTTTCAGAAATTGGTGTTGCACACCACCTTTGCGACGCCAACCGTATCCTGCTGCTGCCCTCCCGCTCCTCTCTTCACCGAGCGCGTTCCACTATTCGCAAAGTGTCCACTCGCAAACGCCCGAAAAACACATGTCGGCATCGATGCAGCGTATCGTGAATCCCCCATGGTGGATCCAGGCCATTTGGGAGTAGATCCTTTGCGAGTAGTGGAACTCGAAGGAGAGAAAAAACGCCATGCCCATCAACTATTGGTGCTCCGCGCAGATTTTTTGGATTCGCGCTGGGGCCCCCTGGCGGCGCCTCTGGCGCCGACACTGGCGCCGACCCCGGCGCGCTCCGCGCGCCAGGGAGGGGGCTCCAGCGCAGATCCAAGAAATCCGCGCGGAGCGCCAACAGTTTATGTTTATGGCGTTTTTTCTTCTTCAAGGAACGTGCTTGTCTGTGTGTCACTGCTTGGTCGCCGCGCACCCGGGGGTTTTGGCAGAGCTCGTCTTGACGGCCGGCGTCGCTGCCGCTGTGTCTGGCGCGGTGCCCTGCGTCGCCCTTTGCTGCCCTCGGCCGGGAGGCGGCTGCTCCAGGCGGGGCGCTGCGCCGCGCGGCGCGTCCGCTGTGGGCCTGTCTTCGGCTTCGTCCAGATTTCGTCGGATTCGGTCGACGTCTGGATGAGGCCTGGGCGAAATCTGGACGAGAGGTGGAAGAGGGGTGGTCGAGACCTGGTCGAACTCCTTTCGAAATCAAGTTCATGAGTCAGGGCCGCGAGCCCTTGCGTCTTTCGAGCGGATGGGGCCGGCCAGTGGGTCGATGGCGCCCTTGGGCGGGAGCTACTTCACAGTGGGGTTGGTCGGTGAGGCCTCCGTAGCTCTCCAGGGGCATCGGGCTGGCCACGGAGCGCCCCCCTGGGGCGCCCAGGAGCGCCCTGAGACCCTGGGCGGGAGCCAACCCCCAACTGGGGTTGGTCTGCAGGGCCTCGGGAGCCTCCAGGGAATCTGGAATCTTTGGCGGGGGAGTTTCCCCATCGCCCGCAGAAGGCTGCGCCGCTGGCTGCGCCTCTGGCTGCGCCGCCAGCCCGCTGGTCGGTGCTCAGCGGGCCCTGGGAACGACATTCGTTTCTTCTTGTTGGGGTTGACCTTTGTCGATTTATATCGGAGGTTGGGGGGTATGAACGGAAGTGACCCCGACCGGGAAACGACCAGGAAATCGGTCTCGGTTTCGGTTCGTGCCGTGCGCACGGGCGAGGCGAAGCTGCGCGAGTTCCTGCAGTTGTAGAGGCAACATTCCCTCCCAAAGAAGGTCGCCCGCCCCCCCCGCCCCCCCCCAGCAGGGTGCGGCCCCCGATGGTCGCCCCGCGGGTTGTCTTGATGATTGTCCCGATGGTTGCCCACATGGTTGTCCCGATGGTTGTCCCGATGGTTGTCCAGATGGTTGTCGCGATGGTTGCTTCGATGGTTGTCCCGATGGTTGTCCCGATGGTTTTCCCGATGGTTGCCCCGACGGTTGTCCCGACGGTTGTCCCGACGGTTGTCTCGATGGTTGTCCCGATGATTGTCCTGATGGTTGTCCCGATGATTGTCCCGATGGTTGTCCCGATGGTTGTCCCGATGTTGGCCCCGATGGTTGTCCCGATGGTTGTCCCGATGGTTGCCCCGATGGTTGTCCCGATGGTTGTCCCGATGGTTGTCCCGATGGTTGTCTGGATGGTTGTCCCGATGGTTGTCCCGATGGTTGCCCCGATGGTTGTCCCGATGGATGTCCCGATGGTTGTCCCGATGGTTTTCCCGATGGTTGTTCCGATGGTTGTCCCGATGGTTGTCCTGTTGGTTGTCCCGATGGTCGTCCCGATGGTTGTCCCGATGGTTATCCCGATGGTTGTTCCGATGCTTGTCCCGATGGTTGTCCCGATGGTTGTCCCGATGGTTGTTCGGGATGGTTGTCCCGATGGTTGTCCCGATCGTTGTTCTGATGCTTGCTCCGATGGTTGTCCCGATGGTTGTCCCGATGGTTTTCCCGATGGTTGTTCCGATGGTCGTCCCGACGGTTGTCCCCATGTGCGTCCCGATGATTGACCCGATGATTTTCCCGATGGTTGTCCCGATGGTTGTCCCGATGGTTGTCCCGATGGTTGTCCCGATGGTTGTCCCGATGGTTGTCCCTATGGTTGTCCCGATGGTTGTCCCGATGGTTGTCCCGATGGTTGTCCCGATGGTTGTCCCGATGGTTGTCCCGATGGTTGTCCCGATGGTTGTCCCGATGGTTGTCCCGATGGTTGCCCCGATGGTTGTCCCGATGCTTGCCCCGATGGTGGTTGTCCCGATGGTTGTCCCGATGCTTTTCACGCTGGATGTCCCGATGGTTGTCCTGATGGTTGTCCCGATGGTGGACCCGATGGTTGTACCGATGGTTGTCCCGATGGTTGTCCCGATGGTTGTCCCGATGGTTGTCGCGATGGGTGTCCCGATGGTTGTCCCGATGGTTGTCCCGATGGTTGTCCCGATGGTTGCCGCCATGGTTTTCCCGATGGTTGTCCCGATGGTTGTCCCGATGGTTGTCCCGATGGTTGTCCCGATGGCTGTCCCGATGGTTGTCCCGATGGTTGTCCCGATGGTTGTCCCGATGGTTGTCCCCCCGATGGTTGTCCCGATGGTTTGTCCCGATGGTTGCCCCGATGGTTGTCCCGATGGTTGTCCCGATGGTTGTCCCGATGGTCGATGGTTGTCCCGATGGTGTCCCGATGGTTGTCCCGATGGTTGTCCCGATGGATGGTTGTCCCGATGGTTTGTCCCGATGGTTGTCCGATTGTTGTCCCGATGGTTGTCCCGATGGCTGTCCCGATGGCTGTCCCGATGATTGCCCCGATGGTTGTCCCGATGGTTGTCCCGATGGTTGTCCCGATGGTTGTCCCGATGGTTGTCCAGATTGTTGTCCCGATGGTTGTTCCGATGGTTGTCCCGATGGTTGTCCCGATGGTTGTCCCGATGGTTCTCCTTGTGTTTGTTCTGACGGTTGTCCCGATGGTTGTCCCGATGGTTGTCCCGATGGTTGTTCGGGATGGTTGTCCCGATGGTTGTCCCGATGGTTGTCCCGATGGTTGTCCCGATGGTTGTCCCGATGGTTGTCCCGATGGTTGTCCGGGACGGTTGTCCCGATGGTTGTCCCGATGGTTGCCCCGATGGTTTTCCCGATGGTTGTCCCGATGCTTGTCCCGATGGTTGTTCCGATGGTTGTCCCGATGGTTGTCCTGATTGTTGCCCCGATGGTTGTCCCGATGGTTGTCCTGATGGTTGTTCCGATAGTTGTCCCGGTGACTGTCCCGATGGTTGTCCCGATGGTTGTCCCGATGGTTGTCCCGATGGTTGTCGCGATGGCCGTCCCGATGGTTGTCCCGATGGTTGTCCCGATGGTTGTCCCGATGGTTGTCCCGATGGTTGTCCCGATGGTTGTCCCTGGTTGTCCCGATGGTTGTTCCGATGATTGTCCCGATGGTTGTCCCGATGGTTGTCTGGATGTTTGTCCCGATGGTTGTCCCGATGGTGGTCCCGATGGTCGTCCCGATGGTTGCCCCGATGGTTGCCCCGATGGTTGTCCCGATGGTTGACCCGATGATTGTCTTGATGGTTGTCCCGATAGTTGTCCCGATGGTTGTCCCGATGGATGTCCCGATGGTTGTCCCGATGGTTGTCCCGATGGTTGTCCCGATGGTTGTCCCGATGGTTGCCCCGATGGTTGTCCCAATGGTTGTCCCGATGGTTGTCCCGATGGCTGTCCCGATGGGTGTCCGGGTAGTTCTCCCGATGGTTGTCCCGATGGTTGCCCCGATGATTGTCCGGATGGTTGTCCCGATGGTTGTCCCGATGGTTGTCCCGATGGTTGTCCCAATGGTTCCTCAATGGTTGTCCCGATAGTTGACC